GCCCGGCCGCCCTTCCCTTCGCCTGGCGGAGGCAAAGCTCCCCGCGCTGTCACAGCATTTCTTCTTCGTGTTTCTTCTGTCAGTGGGAAAGTCTGAAATTCCTCTGAAAAACAAGAGGTCACGTCGCAGTGTTTGGGGTCTCCTTGACCTTGAAGCTGGCCCTGAAGCACCTCTTTCCTCCTACGACCCTTTGGCCGTGAGACGCCTCTTAACCTTTCAGCTCTGCGCGCAGCCAGCAGCGTCCCACCGTTTCCCAGAGCAAAGGCTGTGAAACAGGCACCACGCGTTGCACCACCTGTCAGGCAGGCAGCTGGCTGAGCGAGCTGGCCCGTCACCCTCTCCCCTCCAGCTGAACTGCTCCCGGCCCTCCAGCCCTTGAGGGTGTCTCGCTAGAGGGAATCTCCGAGGAGAGGATGGGGCCTGCCGGAGACCCGACCGCGGCCGCGTTTGTCCCAGTACTCTAGCTGCAACTAACTTCATACCACCTCTAAGTGTGTCCTTTTAACTTGCTTGTACAGGAAACAACAGGTAAGTAATTTTATAGCAGTAGCGTTTTACAGATACTTATTTCCTGAGATCACAGATCTTTTTAAAGCAATAAAGAAGATTTGGTTTAGCACACAACAGCACTCTGAGTCTGCTTTCTTACATTGTTCAAAAAAACACTAGTGTAACAGAGTAAGCCTCTACAGGAAGCTATTTATTTCAAGATCTAAATAGTGCAATATACCATTATATATGCAAGTACAACCCCTGCCAAATTCAGTGGGAGGAAATAATCCAAACTACAAATTGTGATCTTATTCCAAGAAGACTGGGACCAGATTCCATATAAAGCTTTAATTTATTTGGAATTTCGTAGATGCTTCGAATCTGATTATTTCAAATGATTTCATTACATTGTCTAATTCACTCTTTGAATATTTTTATTTCATATTTGTGAAACAGTAGTGCCCTACTGAGCCAGTCAGGACTGGGGACTTGTCACTCTGGGCATTGTTCCCAGATAACAGAATCCTTTGTTTTTTCAAGCCCTTCCACTAGGACAGTGTACGTATTAGTGAGATGGGAATTGCTGACACCGTAATAGATAGCTTTTTTTCCCTATTGTAAATGCACATCATATTCAGCCTCCCATTGCTTTTGGTACCCTGGGTAAAATGATTCAAACACTGGGACTTCTTTGTTGTCTGGGTAACTTCTGACATAACATGGAATATATACCGAACTGAAAAATGTTGGAAGTAAAAATTTTTGTTTTTTTTACTATTACACAGCAAATTTTATCCCAAGTTATCCTTAACAGAGAAGAAAAAGCATATACCAAAAGAGATAAATAAAATGCAGCCCATGGTTTAAGAGCTACAGAGCAGATTCTAAACACTTAGGGGCAAGGGCTATCTTTTATTTTATTTTGGCATAGTAGTTTATACAGTGGGCCTGAATACTAGTTTGGCATGTTTGTTGTCCAGTAATCACTCAGAGTAAAAGAGTCAGACAGAGCTTGCTTCAGTTGTTGTCTGGCTTCTAACTAATCCACTTTGTATTGTGCAGCCTGTCTTTATTACCTGAATAAATGCAGATAACCTAACAACACAGGTTGGGCTGCCTAACCTAACAGCTTACTCTTGCTAAAGCCTCCTATGGTTTCCACTGTCTTAGACACTTAACCACCATAAGACATACAACAGATAATTACAATAATACAAATTTGCTCCTTGGTTTTACCTCCTGTTTTTAATACAAGTGCATGGCCTGCAGATGGTTCCCAGGACACTGATTCTGCAGTAGGCTCCCAGTGTTAGTATATATCTCATTAAAAAGAGAGAAGATAAATCTAACCCACTCTGTGTTATGGAGCTCTGGCCTTCTGAATTGCTGCCAGCTCAAAATGTAAGGATTCATTAACTAGATCACTTTGGAGTTGAAATATAGTGCATAAGTGGCATTTGTTAGGCTGGATTATCAAAAGACTCTTAGCCTGTCTATTTTATGCTGTTCTTGGTTTCTCTGGGGAGGTGTGGATATTGCTGCTGTGAACGTGTGAATTATTTTACAAAACTCTGAAACTGTCAGTGGTGTTTAATATCTGCTGATAGGTTAAACAGTCACCTCCAAAAATGCCCACACCTCTGCGTTCACAAAGGAAAAATGGGATGTGTCTGGAGAATGTTCCTTAAGATTCACTCTGTAAATGAAATAACTCAGAACCTATATTAAAAAGGGTTAAATTACATTCATTTCATGAAAAGAAAGCAAAAAAAGAAACAATACCACTCAGCCTGAGAATCCCTTAGTGTTGAGAGGAGAAAGGAATTTGTTAACTGGAATTCACTGAGCGATCAAGGCAACTCTTTTGACACGTGCTTAAGACCAGCAATGCTGGGAACAGCTTCACTCCACAGAGTGCTGAGAATGAGCCGTGGACTGAACACAGATTTACTCTCTTCATGTATAAAGTATCCCCTATAAACAATATATAACTTTAAAGTTCATTGCAGAGTTCAGTTGTGCTTCTCACAATATAAAATCTCCTCTGTCTTGGAGCTTTTTTCTGAACGCTTCCTAGTATAGAAGACACGCTGCACAGCACTTAGTTCAGCAGAGAAGGAGTGACAAAAGTGCTCTGGTCTCCAGTTGGAGCTTGCTCAGTGGCTTTGCCAGCGGGAGCAGCACTTTCTGTCCCTACAGACTGAATTAGGCAAGTACCCACAGGCTTTCTGAGAGTTCTTTTTTGGAAAATATACCTTAAACTGGGAATGTAAGATATCCTTCAAATATATGAGCACCAAAAGGAAAACTTTTTTAACCTGCTCAAAAGAAGCAAAATACATTGACAATTACTAGGGTAATTGTAGCTAGGTGGTCAGCTGTATGAAGTCACTTCCTTCTGTGGGTGGCTGGATGGAACATTTTATTTTTATCACATTTAAAGAGCTGTCTTCCCACAGCACACAAAACTTGTATTTGCTTCTTTTTTAAATCACGCCTAGATTGACTGATGGGGCACGTGTCACATGGCTGAGTCGCTGACACTGTCGATGCTGTTGTAGAGTGAGTCATGCGGCTCGTCAGCAAGAGGAGAGATGGGGAGAAACTTGAGAGTGATCCTGCTCCTGAGAGATTCTAGCTGAACATCATCAAAACTAGGAGCATTAATCAATAGATAAGTCATAGGTATCCCTTCCTGAGGGGGAGAAGTGCACATTTAGAATCATTTCCTGTCTTGAAGACAATCATTGTCTTCTTTCTGACCACTGCAAAGAAAACTGAATTGTTCTTGTTTTCGCATTTTTATGATATGTAGATGTGGCAAGAAATTACTCTGTTTGGACTAACAGTTTAAACTATAGAATAATGCAGCTGGTTTTGCTGGAAGCAGAATGGGGAGCTACTTTGCTGGCAGCTCAAAGAAGCAGTAGGCTGCAGCAAGAGGCTGTAACAACCTGAAGGGCAGAAACCACTGGAGAGCTCATGTCATCACCTGAGACTATTCCAAGGAAAGTGGTGGAGGGCCCAGCTCTACCGTTCCGCTGGACAACATGTCAGGTGCAGAGTGCCCACTGCTGCCCACGTGCCCACTGTGAGCCATCGCAGAGCCTGAGCGCTGTTCCAACAGAAACGTGCCGAGATGGCACAACAGGTCACAGCATTCCTTACGTTTCTGAAAAAGGACTCTGCATAGGCACTTTCTTCCCCGTATTTCCTCCTTGGTCTGGTTAAGATTGTGACAGACAGGGTCTGAAGGTTATGAGCACTCAGCACATTATCTCTATCTGGATGGCTCTGAGTCACCCTCTGGGTTTGGCGTGGCGGAGTAATGGTGCCAACTTGTCTCCCAGCACGGGTGAATTCAGCTGCTGCGTGCTGAGGTGACTGGAACAAAAGTAGTTTGGAAGCAAGAAGGAAAGGTAAAAATCCAACAAGCATCCTAATGAAAGAGAGAGTACACTGCCTGAAAGGGTTCTGAAGGGAGGGTAGCCACAGGCCTTGCTCTTGGAGCGCAGATGTGGAATGAGGCTGGCAAAGAAGAAGCTGGCACAGTCATTTTGAGACAGCTACAGGAGGTCTGCAGTAAAGCAGTGCATACATGCAATAACCAGAGGTCTGCTGGAGTAAGATTACCTTTTCAAAAGTTTTGAACAAATTTATACCATTAGATCCATTTTAGGTCAATGGAGGAATTTGTATTCTGCGGCAGCTGCACTTTTATTCCAACTCTGCATGTGCTAAAAAAGGATTTACAGTCCTATGAAACCTGTATCGGGGCATAAATCCTAACTAAGAGAGTTACATCACTGTAATCCCCCCACCTTGTAGAGGTGTTCTTTTTGTAGTCAAAGAAGATCCTTCCACAGCATAATTTATATCACTTGCGAAGGAATTCAAGTAAGACAACAAAATCATGTATATGACTATATTGAGGTAACTGGTAAACTGCTCCTAGGTTTGTACAGCCTTATTGATGGTTTTTTACCAACTTCAACTAATTTGTTTAAAAATACTATCAGTATGGTATATGAACATTTTTCCAAGGAGCTGGCATTAATGTAATTAAAGCACATCTAAATTAATTTAGCTATATGGGTGCAATGTTTGCAGATAAACAAGCTTTAACCAGAGTTAAGGGTTCTTAAAGAGTATACCTCTCCCAGTTTTTTTAGTATGGTTTGCTGGGATACAACTAAAAATGCCTGGAGTACTGTGTAAGCTAAGCAATATGTGTTAGAAATTAAACTTCTGGCATTTATGTGATTGTGATTCTATCCAAATTATAATTTAAACCAAATAAACACATGCCCTTTGTAAGGAATGGGGTTTGTGTATTCTGATGAGCTCATACCTCCTATTTTTGTTAGTTACGGTAAAGAGTTTTAGGATATAACTGGTGAGTAAGCAGCTGCACGGAAGAAAAGTTAGGATGGAAAGTACTGATAAAAATGAATGGAAAAATGTCACCAACAAGTGAGATACATAGAAGTAAGCACATATTTGCAGCTGGATAGCTCTGGTTATATGAATGAAGGATTAGAAATATCCTGGAGCCAGACCCATAGGTGAATGAAAGCTTTTATTCATAAAAATCAGTGCTCAAGGGCAAGAGCTGAAAAAGGAATTAAACAGCAAGTGAGGGCAACCTTTCAAACATTAAAATCAGTTGAATCTGGGCTCAGGAATCCTAAGCGTTCCGATTTGCTTCTCTCCTGGTAGTTTGTTTGTGGAAGGTATGTTTGTTAATTCTATTTACGATTTAAGTATAAGTCAGGCAATTTCTGGTTTTAGTTGCACATATATATTTTCATTACTGCTTAATTAACTACAAACACAGTAAAAGAGAGAGTTATGATGTTTCTATCCCAAAAGGTAAAAATAAAGGCCAGATTCTCAGCTCGGATACAGCTCTTTAGTTCCTCTCTGATAGTTCATAGATCACCTTAAATAGCCACTTACATTTTTTCCACTGCATTCTCCAGTGGTGTATGAGAAACAAGGAAAGAAGCTTTTCTGGTTAGCCTGCTCATACCTTATGTTTGAATGTAAAAAGGCAAGAATTAAGGGCTATTTTGTCCTGCCGCAAATTGTAGGGAGAAACCTACCCTGTAATAAACTTACCCCATCCCAGCTAAGCCTCATGGAAGCCCTGTCAGGTCCCATAAATGCAGGACAACCTTTGGAGGCCTTACTTCAGACCCATTCTTTTTTTAAACTCAGGAAGCACTCCCTCTAAGAAGACAAAGTTCTTATTAAAAACATGAAGAAAAGAAGGGAGTTCTCATCACAGTGTATGAAATCTGAAGTGTTCTCCTGAAGAAATAAAAAAATTACTATTTGTAACAGGAAGAGGGCTGAGTGGCTCCACCCTCCACCACTTCATCCCAACTTCTAGTCCAGCCTTCAGTGTCTGAGTTCTGAGAACAGACTCAGGCAGAAAATTTGTTCAGCCAGTGTCAGCTCTTTTAAGGTATGTTGCTATGGAAGTAAATCTTTCCAAAGCAAGAAAATCTTCCTTGTACCTTATTCTTGCTCAGTGTCTCTTTCTTCGGCTCTCGCAGCAGGCACTTCTGAAGCAGAACGCAGCCCATACCTAATACACCGGGCTGCTGCTGGGGGAGGCCAACATGAACAACGATTCAAATCACAGATAGATAACAGGGAGACGGCACAAGAAGAGAGTGCATATGCAGAGCTGCAAGAAGGAAAGTCCTTGCTTGACTGAAAAACAGCTGCGCAAGACTTCAGCCATGCAGCGCTTGCCTGCAGTTGAGGTATGTATAATCTCCTAGTGTTTATTCCTTTGCTTGTGACAGCTATCACATTTGTAAATTTCAGAGTAGAGATGGTATGTGCCCATATCCTGGGATACACCCATTAGTCCATTATTCATATTTAACACTATGTTGAGATTAAATGTAATGATCAAATTTCTATCCCGTCTGCAGCTGAGTTTATAATCGTTTTAAAATAGCGTACCTGAAAATTCAGGTATTTCCTCCTATGGAGGAGGAATGTGTTCCTTCAAGGGTCCCTTCCCATTTACAGCCATAAGATAGCTGGACGTACCTGTCCGCAAGCGAAAAGTCCTCAAATCTAAGTTATTCCATGCTGATAAAAACATTATATTTAATTTGATCAAAGATCTGTTTTAATTTCTCTTTAACGCCACTACCTACTTTTCAGACTGTTTCTGCTGATTCTGCCTCTACAAATGTGGTAACTGGAGTTTCAGCCAAGTTAAACCGAGGCTTTGGTTACGTACTGTGGGGTTGGCCTTTTACTTCCTGTTCATGTGCTCTATCATGGGCACGTGAATTTAAGGGGGAGGGCTGAACAGGGAACCTGAGCGTGGACCTTTGATCTCACTGAATAATCTTTTTTTGTTTCTTTTTGCTGGTTTATTTGTTGATGGACTAGTTCCCAAACTGGCTCAGTGCATAGCCACACAGAGTAACAGTAGGAATGGTATGATGTCAGAAAAAAGGAGTTGGAAGCAGGGACTTCTTATGCCTTGTTTAGACAGCTTGTGTCTGAGGCTCATTTGATCCATTCTCACCCCCATCATTTGTAGCGGCCTTTTGTGAGCCAGGTCCTTGTTCCTGATACAACCACAATGTAACACTGCCTTACCTGGAAAGCTTGGGGTTCACATGAAGGTAACCCACAGACATCATCTGGAGAGCCAGCTTCATGCCGTCTCCCAGCGCTGAGCACATACTGAGGAGTGTTGCTTTGACAGTGTCTACTGTGCTGGAGTAATTGCAGAATTTAATGCAGCAGAGTGCATACAGGTGTTTTTAAACTGCTTTTTCCACTAGTCCACATAGGCCCAAGTGGAACCACCCATCTGGAATTTACCAAGACCTGAGCGATCTCTCTTTGCTCCCAGGTTTTTAAAAAGTAGACAAGAGGCCAGATCATTGTAATTGTCTATTGGCATTTAATTGCTGCATTTTCCTTTCTCACTGTAAGTAGGCTAAGCAGGTTATGCTGTCATACAGAAAGGTTCTTTTATTCTGATTTGCCCTGAACCGAGGTCCTAGCTGTATCCTCTAAAGCTAAAACAAAGCAACTAAAGGGGAAAATATGTTTATCAAAAACATCCTTCAAACTAGTAAGATACAAACCAGAAAGGAAACACTGAAAGATAAAAAGGAAGGAGCGATCTGAAGAGAACTGAGCCCTGTTCAGCTTCCTCATTTATTCTATAGCTGTCTTGGAATGTGGTCTTTATACGATGAGCCACCAGCCCTGAACCAGGTTACCAGCCGAAAGGCTACGTCAACAGCCAGTTTCCTAATGGTACTGCAGTCATGCGGCCAATTATCAGTGATCATTTTCCACGTTGCACTCTGACTACAGTTTTAATAATCTTTTTCTGTTATGTGGTAAACACGTTCGACTTGGAAAAGGATGAGCAAGTCAGCAGTACAGTTACCAAACAGGCACATAATTTTGAACTTTTACAACAGATCAGTAAAGCATAAAATGAACACTTACTACAAGGAGCGCTCTGCATGTCTTCTCACTAATTGCCTAAACAACAGAACGACCTTAAGAAATGGGACCCAGACTGTGGTAATCACTCCCAGCAAAGGAGAAATTACAAAGATAGAGCTTTTCAGAAATGCTGAGTATCCGATTTCGGACCTCAACTTCTCTGAAGTCTCGGGTCAGAATGTCCCAGTGTAGCACAGTATCATAAGACACTGTGTTCCTAGGGTTTTATGTTCCAGGAATACTTTTCTCTCTTACCTACATACCTTGGTAAACAATATTATGCCACACGGAGGAACACAGCTCTGGTCCGGTGGCAGAAGCAGCATGCTCTGCGAAACAAGACCTTGCATACCGAGCAGTGCCTATGAAGGACTGAGGCACTAGGCTACTCATTTCTCTTCCAGCCCTCTTAAAATCATCAGCTTGAAGTTCTGCTGCTTTTAATGTTGCTACTGAATCTATTCTAGTCACCCGTGCACCCCAAAATTGCAGCAGGTTGGATGAGCAAAGACATTCACTGCTCATGCTCTGGGAGATGGTTGTTTTCATTGCTGAAGAGGATCATAGGAGAGGCATCAGTCTGGAAAGTAAGTGTGTACACATGTGGGATATGAAGAGGATACATAGTTCATTGTACAGTCGTACAAATATGTAAACTCTTTCTCCCACTAACAGTGGGCCACAGAATGGATGGAGTAGTCAAAAAGGACTAAACTAGAAGTGGTGCTCCTGCCTAGGAAAGAAAGTGGTCGGTCAAAAGCTGTATTGAAACACGGCAGAAAAATGGTAAGGTCAGGTAGCTGAAGGCTTATTTCTGCAGGTCTTGCCAACTTGCACTGGAAACTTGTATAAAGATGATCAAAATGGTTCCTCTCCAGTTAAATGCCCATTACTTTCCAGAATCAATAATTATCAGCTTTAAATAGCCTGATCAGCTGTTACTCACAGTAGTCAATGAACCACTCACTGGCTGGCGGTCAGCAGCCAGAAGTTGGCAGATCGATTGTTCCTTTGCTTTATTTCCAGGTGATCCTCAAGGTTCTCAGAAGCTTCAGAAGATCTGAAGAGAGAGGTCGGAGTTTCTACCTTGAATGAAGCTTTCTTCTATATTAGAGGAAGAAGAGAAGAAAAATCAGGGACCTTCAGAGGTGGAGACCAGACAGAAGAAGAGTTGGAAAAAAAATCACAAAGTGATGGACATGTGATTCAGAAAGAAAATATTAGGACAAAAATTCTCACAGGGAAAAGGAAGATGGAGAAGTGTGTTCAGGTAAAATGGGAGTGTGAAACAGATTGGAGAAGAGGGAAAGATAAGAAAAGGGGAAAGATAAGAAAAACATATACTACTTTTTCCCGAAAACCGAAACTTCAAGTGGAAAAGTTAAAACCATCTTAACTATTTCCCAAGCTAATATTTCCATGTAAGGAGTCCCTGAAACCTTCAGATCAATTGCATGAACGCATTTAAGTTTCAGAGGGGAAATGCTACTAGAATGTTTTTTTTTTCTGTTCCAGTGTGTTTCACTAATGCATGGTCTAATCAGAATATATGTGGATATCATGTAAAATTTTCCTTTGTTTTGCTTTCTCTGTGAGATACAAAAATTCTGCAGTGACTGTGCTCAGCATTTCTCCTGATGTGGCCTTTAAGGTCTGAGCTTTTGCAAGAATTAGCCAGTCATAACAAATGGGCCAACAACCAATCCATAATGAACAAACCTTTCATCCTTGCTATTTGCAAACTCACACGTAGTTAGTTTTTAAGAAATATATTCAGGTCATCATTAAACTAGAATTCTGCAACAGAAAATAATTAAAATTCAAGGCAACATCACAGATGTCAGAATGTGTTTAACTGAAACATATTAGAAAATCTGCCAACATTCTGAGGAATGAATTGCTATACATGTATTCCTATGGGAAATTATTAAATTAATTGAAAACGCTATAATATGACTGATAGCACTATTGTAATAGCGAGCATCACAGTTAGTTGTTAATCACGGTTAGAGATTAAATGGGGATGGGCTGATAAGTGTAGACTGTTTTTATCTAAGGCAGTACTTTGCAGGAAACCTTCATCATTCTAATTCATCATTGAACATTATGCATCCAGTCCTAGAAAAGTTTCCCATTGAATAGTTTGGCTAAATGCAGAAAGCCAGATCTACAAATGTCTGTGATAAGGACATTCACACATTTTTTCTACTACGCATGGTACTAGTTCCTTTTGCCTATGAACAGACTGCCGGATCAGCTTTTTGGCCCACTTCCCACAATAAAATAGACTAAAATCAACGATTGCAAAAAATAAATGTCACATGCTTGTTTAAGACTTGCTATTAATTCTTATGATGCAGTAATTTCTGAATAAGCAAGACAGAAAGTAAAAGGAATCCACAGAAACAGTGATAAGCTGGTTTATAAGAACTAAAAAAACTGATATGTCATTATTCTGATATGTCATTATTATGTAGAAATTCTTATTGTTGCTGAACCAGTATTTTTAAAATGTGGAATTACTTGCTATACTTGTGATATAATTTCATGCAAATATCTTAATCAACTTTCAGCTTGATTCAGCTGTAGCAATTCTTTATTTTATCTTGTTACCCCAGCAGAAATATAAATGAGAATTCACTTCACGTTCTCAAGCAAGGAACTTTGCTCAGGAAAGGCCAGGAGTACAAGAGAGAGTCCTGGCAAGCCAGAATCAAGGTGTATTAGGAGAGCTTGAGGTACTTTCATGAAATCCTTTTTATTTAAAAAATATGTATCTAAAGTCTTGCTTCACTTAGTTTAGCTAGAATCAAATAGAAAGGGTTAATACATTTCTTTTAGAACTTGTAAGCAACTTTCCAGCTTATCTTTTGCTCACAAGCTCTCCATATCTTAGTTTTTCTCCCAATCAGCCCTAAGTGCCTCCCTGCCAATATCTGCCTATTTCTTTGATGTGCTTATTATGCTTTAATAGCATTCTTTCTCTCAGACAGACAGAGAATTCACCAAGCAGTAGTCAAGTCTCCTTTATTTCAGTTCAGACCCAAAGAAATGCATTTGATCATGTAGCTAGATGCTTCACCAGCTTTGCATGTGGCCTTTGTTTTCAACTGTATATACCATACAGGAACAAAATTGAATTTCCATTTTTCCTGAATGAAAGGCTTCTCTTCTATCTACCCACTCTGATATCATTTCACCTGTTCTCTAATAATACTCATCTATCTGGTAACTGTACATTCCATTCAGTTTATTTTTCTAAAACAAAAAAATGTATATATATCAAATCACGAAGGGAGTAGAAAGAACATACCTAATTGCCTGGCGTAAATTTTAATCTGAAAATTTCAGCTTACAATGGATTTTGAGCATATCTATCTTGGCATTGGACTGTCATCTTGAACTGTTTATTTGTGAAGGTTAAATAGGAAACTTTTAAGAGCATTAACTTAGGCTTTTATTTTAAAATGATACTTTACTCACTATATTGACTTAGTTGTATATATAACTGTCTCCTAAAGTTTAGGAAGGATAGAAAGAAAGGTAGAGCTAAAAAGCTGGAGAAGGAAAAAAAAAATCATACCATGCCATAAAATACATCTGTTTTCTTTTTTGAATAAATACCTAATGAATCCTAAATGTGAAAATAAGGTAGTGATCATCACTAGCAGCTGATCATAGTTATTAATTTCTCATGCTTAGAAGAATGTTAGCACAGCCATTTGAAATAATTTAAGTTGCGTACTAGTCATAACAGATTTCTTCAACTTTGTTTCATCAGTTTCATCCCCTTTGCCTCTACCTTATTTCTTATTTCTCTCGATACATCACTTCTCCTCCACCTCTATTGTTCTTTCTTTCCCTCTTTTTTCGCTTTTTGCTGCCTTCATAGTCATCTTTTTCTCCTCTCCTCTCTCGTAAACATCCTCATGCTACTGATTATGTCAGTGCTGCTCACCATTTGTGGGAAACTCTGCATAGTCTGAATAGCTACTGACAAATTAAGATCCTGGGAAGAGACAAAGCTTTCCAAAGCACTGATCTGCTTTGTAGAAAAAAAGCGTTCCCTAGCAGCAGTGTTGGCAATTGATGGTGAGGTGTGTGGACAGTGGGAGAACATCAGAGACCTCTTGGGCATGGTCACGATGCCCCCAAGGACCCCACAGTGCTGGAGCATGGGGTGCTTTACAGGCAGCTATACCTGCTGGCGGGGGCCCTGCCTGAAGGTTTTCCAAGCAGCTGCACCGAGGGAACCACTTACAACTGTACAGACCAGAACTGTTCTACAAACTGAATGTTACATTACTAAATTGCTATAATTATTAATGTACGTATGCAGTTCTTTGCAAATGGAAAGCTTCTCCTAAGTGCTGGGAGAATTTTGAATATAATAAAGTTCTAGTACTGATCTACTGTATCACTATCATTTAATCAATTTCAGTGGAAGCAGGATATGATTGTAAGGACTAAAATTATTCTAAACTGGACTAACTTGACCTCTTTGACTTATTAAACAGACAGAAATATTATATTTTGTTAAATGTACATATAGCTTATGTAAGTTTCAGTTCACCACATATTACTAATAATACCACTATAGTAATAGCTGAAATGTATTTTTTTACTCTTCCAAAGATTCAGAATTTTTTGCATGTTCTCCAGCTTGACCATTATCACAATTATTCCTGAACAACTTCAGTTTATTGCTATGTCTAGTCATAAAAACTACAACAGAAAGTCTGCATTTTAAAAACAGATTCCACTTGAACACTAATAAATCATGGATTCACATCCTCCGTACTTAGGCTTTCTAGAAATTTGCTTCCTCAAAATTTAGTGTACATTTCATTTGATTCTTGGGTGTCCATTTTAGACACAGTCATAAAAAATGGGATGCCCATGGGGTCCTAATTAAGGAAAGGACATGGCATACTGGCTTTCTTGCAAAAATAAAATAAACCATGCTTATAATGTATATAAAGAGGAAACATTTTTGAAGAGCACAGTGATCACAGTCGTTATTCTGAGGACATGTTGTATTCACTTGCAGCAATTTTGCAATCTTCAGTATGACTTTTCTTTTCAAAATAATACAATACATTCCTTTCGATACACAATAGATAAATTTCTAACTTTTACGGTTGTGGAAATGAATTAAAAACATGAAAAGCACGTAAACTGTTAGTGCCATCTTACCAGTTTTCACAAGTAGCTGGTCTTATCTCCTGCTTATCACTGGGTGCCACAGATCCACCATTCTGCAGCTTTCTAAGTTGGCATTTTTCCTAATGGCCATGTAATTCAATGCTTTTTGCATAGAATTCACTATTTTCTGGAGTCTGACATTTCATTTTCTATTTCTTTGTGCCACTGAGGCCTATTGAAACTGCCTCTTGCTGCTTCATCTTCCCTGCAGGGAAGGAAGTAGATTTGGTTTCTGTGCGTTTTTTTGCATAGCTTGGCAGGTGGTAGTTAAGAGTAACAGAGCTGGATCTGAGAGTAACAGAGCAGACCTTCCACATGGCAACGAAAGGAAGCTCAAAGCATAGGTGCATGATTTATACAGCCTGGAAAATAGTACATGAGGTAGGAGGAGATGAACTGCTGTGGCTACAAACAGTCTTGCTCCACTGTGTGGTACACAGAGCCTGAAGCAGGCTCTAGCAGGGTGAGCTGCACATCCACAAGTGGGGAAATTGGGCTTTACTTACAGATACCTCCAGCTCGAAATCCAATAGCAGAAACCAAACCTTCATGCAGTTTAAGATCACACCATCTAGTCTGACATCCTGTATATACTGACAATTCAAGTGTTACACAGGTATTTAAGCTCTAATCTTGTTGGTATGACTAAAGCATAGCTTGTGTTTTTTATTAAAATGTATCTTCTAGAATGGCATCTGGTCTCAGTCAGAAGACATAAAGAGATAGAGAGCTGGTTACTTCCGCTGGGAATTTGTTTCAATGGTTCTCTGGTTTCGTCTGTTAGATATTTGATCCTGTTACATCTTTCTTCAGGAAAGAGCTGTTTAGTACCCAGCATTTTCTTCTTGGGAGAGACTGTCACTCTTTATTCCCTAGCTTGCAACCCAGAGTTAGCTCTGTTAAAAGTAAGAATTGACAATGGAGTCCTATACCTTTGAAAAGAGGTTTATTTAAAAAATGTTTGAAGGCCAGTTTTCCTGAACTCAGAAGAATCAGACATATACGGCTTTTTTTTACATGCTGCTCAAGCTTTTTTTTTTTTTTTTTAGATAAGCCCTTGACCTAAATGGTCTATAAAAGCTCTATCTCTTGGCATTTACTCAGGTCCTTAATATCGCCGGCTCTGTTATAGTGAGTGGTGTTTCTCTGCTGCATCATCCACTGCAGGAGCTTTTCCACTCCTGCTGCTCCATTTACATACACTGACACTCCAGTTCCACCGATTCATGACCTAATCTTGTGTTTTCAACCTCTATCCCCTGGGAAAACGGTCTGACTATGAGGTTTAGCATCTGCTCATGCCTTGCCATCTGGCTGGGGGAGTGATTTGTCTTTTTTTTTTTTGAGGAATAATATGGGGAGAGGAACTATTCAGCTCACAGCTACATGAAGGAACTTAGTAGCTTCTTTGTGTTTATCCTAAAAGAAAATTTCAGCACAACTTAACCTGGGGGTAAAGTCAACTCCAAACTAACTAGGCAGGATTGAAAGGAGCTGTGCTACCCCACAGTGGGCACGCTATGGCATCATCCTCTCCTGGCTAGTCCTAACATCAGAGCAGAGGCATTAGGGAGGATCGTCCCTTAAATTGCCCAGTAAATCTCTGCCTTATTTAACCATAATATTACTGATATACAGTAATTAAGACTCCTCTTAACCTTTATATTAAACCAAATGTGAACGTTTCAAATATGTCTCTTTAAGGTTATTTTCTTCAGCTCGGATAATTTTTGTGGCCGTTTTATGCAACCCAAGTTGTCAATGCTTAAAAAATGTAAATGCTAGAGCTATGCTTTGGTAATGCAGCATCTGCCTCTCCAACATCAGAGGAAAGGACAAATCACTTCCCTACTCCCACTTTTCAGACCTCTGTTTCCAACTCAAAGATTGTATTAGGTCTTTTGCCACAACATCATGCTGAGAGCTCATCTTTTCAGTCTAGAGGAACGTGCTTGCACTTTCTGTTCTTCAATATCTAACTTTGCATTTGTTGTATTAAAAAGTGCATTTTGTTTGTTGTTCGGGTTGCCACTTTGCCACATCCATATGGGACTGTTTTGCTAATCTTGTGTCATCCTCACACGCCTCTGCAGTGATTTTGTATTTATTTCAAAACTGCTTGGAAGTATCAAATAGCAAAGAATCTGCTAGTGATACCAGTAGAAATCCAATAGAAGTTGGTCCTTTCAATAATCATTCTTCACTTATCGCCTTTTTTTTTTTTTGAGAACTATAATTTAGCCATTAAATGTGTACTCAGGGTTATAGCCTATGATGATATTTTTAATGCAAGGAAGTCTATATTTATTCTGCACCATTTTATCACCCAAACTTGAAAACTCAACAGTTAATTACCTTTGTTTGATGATAACTATTTTACATCAAATTGTGTTGATTAACATCGATTTCATTTTAAAATTCCATGTCTGAATCCTATTTAAGCTTTTTGTTTTTTTCCTATGACTTACATAGGGATAAATAGTTATTCTATTTGCAAACTTTGCATGTTGGCATAATATTTCTGTGCACACCATCTTCCTTTTTATTATCATCTTTGATTTAGCAGAAGTAGCTCCAAGATAGGTTTGGGCACTTGTGATTCAGCCATTCACTTAATGTCAAAACTCCCTTTGGATTTGTAGGACCTGGTAAGTATGTCCACATTGCAGGGATTTTTTTCCAAATTTCCGCTTGACATTTTGCATGCTGTTCATAAAGGAGTATACTGTGTTTGCATAGCTGGTGTCAATTTGACTGATGTCAAATCACCCCTTTTGGCACAGAACAGCTGATAACAGCATTTATCAGTTACTACGTTTTTTTTTTCTTTTTTAGAAAGATCTGGTGAAAGCACCCAAACTTTTCGAGGCTCAAGATCTTTGGCAGCTGTGCTCCCTTTATCTACACTTTTTGCCTTCTAGCTTTTCATGTACTGTAAATAGAGTTGTACCCCAGAAAGGCATACAGGCCAATGCTTTGTGACCAACTCCAAGGGAGTATGCCACTTTATTAAAGCTGATGAATGTTGTCTTTGTTACTGTTCCAACTTCCTGGGAAAAAGACATGATTGCTAAACCCGAGACAATGCATAAGAATATATGTATCTTCAGAAGTAATTTGTATACAGTGTTTGAGGCCTGCACCATAACATTTCTGTCTTTTAAGAGATAACTTGAGAAGTTCAGTTCTATCATAGCACTTTTTGGTCATCTACAAGTATTCACACGTAACAGAGAACGTTATCAGGAAGGCTAATCTCTGTAGCATGTATGCATTTTTTTCCATTCTGAGACTGAGCGTTTGATGAGGCCTCACTGACTAAGGGTCAATTTTCTCCATTGTTCAGTCCTGAGATTTTTTCCCCTTTCTGTGACTGCATAAGCTGTTTTAGCTAAAGTATTCACCAACTGCTCTGCCCCGATAGCTAAGCTTAAGTCTCTATTTTGTCCTGCTAATACTACACAAAGAAAGCATCTGACAGAAGCATGTACATTCTATCTTGATAAAATTTGTGTTTAGGATGCCACAGCTCACTAATTCCCTGTACTTTGATGTTGGTTGTCATCTGTTAGGCTGCTCCACTCAAACTGCTAGGATGTGTGTTCTTTGATACTTAACTATTTCATTTCCCTCTTTAACAATTAGCTACCCATGGCAGACATAATCCATCAACAAATTGTTTGGATTTGTGATTAATTTCCTGGTATTTTCATGGCTGTTTCTTCTAGAGCTGGTGTCCAGTCCACAAAAAAATGTCCATCCTGACTGAATCTTGTATTCATTAATTTCTGTGACCCATTTATACATTTAATCCTGCTGTGAGGTTAGTCACTATAATTACTTCTCAGCTAGCAAAGATGTGAATGCAAACATTCTTGTGAATGCAAATGTTCCTTGACATATAATATTTTCTGCTTAGGAATACTCAGACTCTGGACAATCATTTCCACAGTCTTCTGCATAAATATCTTTGGCCTCTTCACTTTTGTGTAGAAATGGCAACAGCTTTGGTAATAAGCTTTTGCGACCACAGCATCTCTGCTAACAGTGGTCAGCACCCTGTTGTGGCGTCTTTTCTTTGCAGTGATTCACATCTGTATATCTGACGAAGAATTACATATAGCCAGTGCATTGCGAGCCCTTTGTCCTTTGAAGTATTTATATTTTTTGAGAGAGAAGATGTATTCTGTTTCATAAGTTGTGGATCAGCTTAGAGTCTAAGCAAGTTCTCCCCAGTTAGAGGCATTGTTGCTTTGCTCTTTTCATAGGAGGAGCACTGAAAGATTTGATCTTGTTATTGGTGCTGTGACACAAAAGCACGAAAAAGATTTTGTTGTAGCATTTGTGGTGTTATTGAATCTACAATATTTCACCTTTATTTGATTTTTTGGCAACATCCAGATTGGAGTGTGACTGTAGATCTGGGCAGCTTACAGAACAGTATTCTATGATGTTCTGTCCTGAAATGATGCTACATTACCACTTGGGTCTGCTAAATTTGGTTGAGTCACGTATGTTTTTTCTGGGTTTACTTCAAAACCCGCTTCTCTGCTTAGTTTTAGAAATGAGGCACTCCTTTTCATGCTTTCAATTAAAAAAAATTATGTAGTGTAAATTGCAGAAGTTTTTAGCATTATATAAATGAAACTAGTATTAAAAGAAACTGAGAAATCCATTTTTCAGTCCAGCAGCAATCACAAAACAGTTATATGTAACAGAAACTCCATTAAGCAGTTTCATATACAGAGGACACTCTAGATAAACCTGACTAATGCAAATTTTGCTGGCTGAGATGGCAGCAGCTACCCAGCTTTAGGCCATTCTCTGGGATTGAGGCCAAATGGGAGAGGACGGCTTTCAAAGGCAGGCTGACTACATCCAGAGTACTTGCTGGGAATGGCTCGCGGCCCACGCTAACTCCATGTACGGGAAATGTTTGGAAGAGCACTAGTGTGCTGGGACAGTAAAGGCAGTTGAGTTTTACAGCTGCATTTCCTGAAGCTGTTTAACTTAATTAGTATAGCGATAGTGTCCTCTATCAAATTTCTAATTTGTATCACTTCTAATGTATATAAATTACTATCTGCATCTGCACTTCTGCTTCTCCATTTTATATGTGGTTTCTTATAAATAAGCGTGCCTTCACTTGAGAGCTGTTCCAGGATGAGCTTCTAGTGAAAGTTTTTTTTTTTCTTGATTGTATTATCTAACTGTCCAATAAATTCCTCTCACAAAATTAACAATAAAATTTTCAAGTAAATCACTGAAATGTCATCCTCCAAATGATACATTAATGACTGTATACTGCCAATTTTACAACTAGCTATGCACATAACTTATTTACTTGTTTTACAGT